GTTTTCTATGCACTGACAAAAGAATCTTTTCCCCTTTGGGGCACCTTCTGCACTACTTCAAGACCCCAGGGATTTTTATAGTGGCTGTCGGGTTGGTGGGTTAGAAGCTCCACCTGCAGCAGCTCTCCATGGTCCTCAGGATCAGCTAGCTGCAGCCTCACCTGAAGAGGCAGGGCAGGGTGTAGGCTGAAGAGGTCATTTTACCACTGGATAACTGGAGCAGCTGACCCACAATTCTGTGCCTCTGAAGATCCTGCTCTGTTGAGGTGAGCAGCGGTGATAGAGACTCAGGAGAAATAGGAAAGAGAGAAGTGGCCAGTTGGCAGCAGAGATAATTACCTGAGATTCTCACATGACCAAATTTTTCTGCTTCCTGAGTGTCCATTATTTCCAAGGGGATGAGTTGGGCAACCAGACCTCCCCATTTGGACCCACCTTTCCTGCCTGTACCCTGCATTATCTGTAAGATACTCTCTTCCCTCTTATATGGTGTGTCTAACTTCTAGGACAGTGGTTCTTACACTTTCCTGAAAAAGTGTCACTTGGTAAGAGGCCCAGGAATCTGCATTTTAAGCAAGCTACAGGTATTATAATGCAGAGGGCCCATGGCTCCCACCCTCAGAAACACTATGTTCCAGATATTTTACTGGACCAGGACCAGATAGAAAACCACACGGTGAATTGCCTGTGGCAATCTTGTCATGGTCAAGGTCACCTTCTCCTTCACCTCTACTACATCCTCATCTAATTTTCCTTCCCGTGCCTGATTCAAAGTTCCTGGAGTCCTGTGCTTCATTCTCAATGCCTCAACCTGGAGCTGCTTCCACATGTATTCACGACAAAGTAGAAATAGCTGATAACATCTTGAGATTCTTTTCTCATGTTTCTGCATTTTTCATAACAAATCCTACATTAGAAGTGAAGTTCTGTTGGCATAGTTTAATTATTAGGTAATGTGCAGGGAGGATTTGGTTAGGTGGTTTGGGTGGGGTTGACATAGAACCTTCCTAGATCTCTTAGGAAGGTGACCAGCAGGGCTATAAATGATGTGGATGCTGGAGTCCCACAGACTGAATTATATCTTGGTTTCACTGTCTACCAGCTTTACAGGTTTGGTAAAACTTCTCAGGTCTCAACTACCTTCCTCCGTACTAAGGAATAATAATTACAATCCTTTTATAGGATTGCAGTGGTAAACAGCAATCCACACATAAAATACTTATCATGATGCCCAGTACATAGTTAGCATCCAATAAATGTTTGCTATTATAATTTATTGTCTTGGAGATACCTGGAGTCCAGTCCATAACTTAAATTGGCCTCTTGTTGTTAAACCAGGATAGAATAAAATGGATGTCTAACCCAGAGAAACCTTTTCTGTGTGTTTGCTAAAACCTGATGGTCTAAGGGATTGATTCTCTTTTTCTTCTTTAGTTATAAGATTTTGTTTTCCATTAAAGACCAAATACTTTGAGGAAGGAAAAGACATTAAGTCTTGTAAGTTACTTTACTCTTACTATAAATKACTGGTTTGGTTTTTTAATTTTTATATTATTTTTTAGTTGTGGATGGACACAGTACTTTTTTWTTTTCTTATGTGGTGCTGAGGATGGAACCCAGTGCACCATATGTGCTAGGGAAGAGCTCTACCCTGAGCTACAACCCCAGCCCCATTTGGTTTCTTTCTGAAACCAAAATTTTGCTTTTTTTTCCCCTACATTTTTTATTGGTGCATTATAGCTGTACATATGCTTTTAAATTTACTCCCTGTCCCCCTCCCTGAGGATTGAACTGAGGGACCTCTGCCACTAAGCTGCATTCCCAACCCTTTTTCTTTTTTCTTTTGAGACAAGATTTTCAAAAGCTGCCTAGGCTGCCCTCGAATTTGCAATTCTACCTCAGACTCCCAAGTAATCACAATTACAGGTATTTTTTGGTCTCTTTTTCTTTTTTTAATATTACTGTGTATCAAACACAAAGCTTTTGCCATGATAGGCAAGTGCTTTACCACTGAGTTACATACCCACCTTGAGACCAGGTTTTAAAGACCAAAAAATAAAAAATAAAAAATAAATATTTTTCCAGAAGGAAAGCAATACAGAAGAATGTAGGGGCTGCAGAACAAGTCATTCCTCCTTCAGAATTTGTCCTGCTCTCTTAGCTGGATGTAATTTTGAAAACATGCTGTATTGAGATGAATCAAATCATTGAGTTGCAAATAAGAATCTTAGAGAATAAAACAGGAAATTACTGCATGGAGGAAACATTACTGTCTGGATTGCATTTCTTCACAAATAAACTTTATTACTGGGAAAATTTGGTTGGTAAAAAAAGCCTCATTCTCAAAGAAATTGGTCAACCAAAGTAATACAGGAACTATATCTTTTTAGTGTTTTTCAATCATAAGGCAATTTATACGTCAGATGTGAAGTTTGGTTCCTACTGCTTCAATTTATATTTTTATTTATAATGCTATGTAACTTATGCAATTATTATGCTTGATTTTCATTTTCTGTCTTCTTTAGAATGAGACTTCTTCAAGTCAGGGATCTTTGTCTCCTTTGTTTGCTGAGGTTCCCAAGCACCTAGGAAGTGCCTGGCAAGTAGCAGAGGCTAAATGAGTCCTTCATGAATAAGTGGATAACTGCCTTTCCATGGATATCTTTTTGTAAAAACCAATCACTACTAAAGATGTGCTAAAAAGCCATTGGTAGCATGCATCAACATCTCAAAACGTGCTTAACTCTTAATTCAAAAATTTCTTTAGATCAAGAGAAATGGGAGTTTATATGCAAATCTATTCAAAGAAGTTTATTGAAAATAAAAAAGAACCTAGATATTGTTTAAATAAAGAAAGGATTAAATGAATTATAGTACATTCAAAAACTAGAATGCTGTGCAGCCATTAAATAGGGTTTTAAAAACTCTACAAGGTGAATTAAGTGAGCAAATCAGTATACAAAACAGTATGTACACCATAGCACCAACCATTAAAAAATAGGTGCATAGAAAAAAGTTAGTATTAAATTCATTAAAATGTAAATAGCAGGTACTTCTAAGCTGTATATTATGATAGACTTGCATTGCTTTTACAAACAGAAAAGAAATGTTTTCAAAAAGATTTAATATTTGTACTTTCCCTGACACATTTTCATTGTTTCTAATTTAATATGTCTTAGAAAGAGATTGTGTCAAGAGAATAACTATGGTTCCCCTCAGCCAACACGAAGAACTTGGATGAATGAAAGTTTTCAGGGATATTTAATTTTACCCCTTGAGTGATTTTTCTTCTTAGGAAACAAAGGATTTTAAGTTTAGATTGTTGTAGGGTAGCTTTGGTATTCTTAGTCTCTTGTATCTCCAATTGAAAATTTTACCCTTAAAGAAAAACATTTGCAGCCTTTTACTGAACTTGTAGAATATTCATATTGTTTTCCCCTTCACCTTGATGTATGTGCTGAAAAATCTGATGAGGCTGCTGAGGGGTGGTGGGGAGAACACACAGTGTTTGAGTAATTAGGTGCTATCATGCTATTTAGCAAGCCATGCCTCAGTTTTTGCATTTGTAAAATGGTGTGAATTACATGGTTGATGTAAAAATCAAACAAGCTTATATACAGTAGTACTTTGTAAGTGGTAAGTAAATGTTATATCAATTTGAATAATCTTGCTAAATAATTCTTGATTTCACTTAAAAATATTAAATTACCAACTAAATTATATAAGTTGGTATCTAAAGTTGTAAGAATTCTTAGAGCTATCAACTCAAAACAGAATACGTGAAGTTATAAATTAACTTTCAAAAGAGAGAACTGATAATTCATTATTGAAAATAATTCCATTGATAATGTATTTCTGTATTTCCATCATCTGGGCATTAGGGGGCGCCAAAAGAACTGTTTGGTTACTTTGGCTCTTGGCTCCCTCTACTTATTTGGCAGACATGAATATTTATAATGTATGTCAAAGTGCTTTGAAAATATAAAACACAATTACAAGACGTTAAGTAAAGATGATGTTAACAGTACTGTGATTATAATTAAAGCCCCCCCCCCTTTTTTTTGTACCAGGGATTGAACCCAGAGGGGCTTAATCACTGAGCCACAATCTCCAGCCCTATTTATTTATTTATTTATTTATTTATTTATATTTTTTGAGACAGAGTCCCTTGATAAATTGCTTAGGGCCTCACTAAGTGCCAAGGCTGGCTTATTAAATTGTGATTTTCCTGACTCAGTCTCCTGAGCTGCTGGGATTACAGGTGCACGACCAAGCCTAGCCAGTCCTTCATTTCTGAAAAGAAACATTATAACCTAACATATAAACTACCTACAGTATGGAGACAGCTTCAGTTTATGGGGCCATTATGGACTATTACAACAACTATAATAGATTTATTTTATTATTTGCTACCATTAAACTCCATTTAATTACAAATTGTTATTGAGTGACATGAATAAATGTATATGAAATTAAACTAATAATCTTTGGAATAGGAAAATTTCTAAGGATCATCTAGACCTTGTTGAGAACTAATTAATACCATGTTTAAGTGCTTTATCTTCCAATTGCTTTGCATATAGTAGTATTTATCAATACTTACATTGATATTATTTGATTTGTGTCTCTTTTAGAAGAATATATATTTTTAATTCTTAATGTTTTTCAAAATAAGATCTTTGATAATTACATGCTTTGCAATCACCCAGTGTTTGTAAGAAATTCTGACCTGTAAGAACCTCCCACCCACTACTTGTGGATCAAACTCTTTGGGGTGCAGGGATTATGAACATCTTCTTAAACAAGTGCCCCCAGTTAGTTCTTATGCCCAGGAATATTCCAATTTGTAATTTGCTGTCAAGGCAAAAGGATGATTTACCACTTACCTGGAATAGTTTGTCAATTTTGGTAGAAGTTAAGCAGAAAAAGTGTATGCACTTAGAAAAGAATCGAAGGACAGAAGAAGAGACTTGAAGAATTAAATATGTAAGTACACTCACCTGTTTCAGGTGTCTTATAAAAAAAGGGTGCACTCCAGGGTTGCCAGTACTTTTTACCTGTTGCTTGACATCTCACTTGAAATACATACTTAATGTTTGGCTCCAAGTAGAATTCTGATTTTTGTACATATGTGAAGTTGGTGTCAAATTCTTTAATCTGAAATAGATGTGCAATAATAACCAGATGATATATATCGTGTGCTTTTAAAACAGTTATTCCACTTAGCAGCAATGTATGGAACTGTATTCCAGGACAGCCCCTAGTGTATTCCAGGACTCTTCTAGACCCTGGGAAAACAAAGGATGAAGCATTTTGTATAAAATATATATAATCAAATATGTATTATAAACATTAAGAGTGAAATTAACATTGCATGTGTTCAACAACTCTCTTTCTATATAGGCTCCTCCTAAATTTCAAGAAAGTCCAAAATGTAATACATTTTAAATATTGGAATACGTGATTTTAATGAAGAGGGGGGGGGATGAAGGACCTGATAGCTTTTGAAACTGCCCTAATTTAATTATTTAGATCAGTAGTTTTTTAAATGATGAGATAATTTCACTTGCTCATGATTACTTTTAGAAAAAAAAGGTACTCATAAGCTAAGCTATTAAATTGGCCCTTACTACAGATTTATGCAAATTCTGGAAGACCTAGTGTATGTGCATGTGTATATGTGTGTATGAGAAAAGAGAGAAACATTTGAGAATGCTGAATTAGAAAAATCCAATGGAAATAAGAAACAAAATACCTGAGTAATAGATTTACAATTGTTTTTTTTTTTCTGGGGCATTACAACCAACAATAGAACATAATGAAAAATATGACCCCYGAACCAGTTGTTTTTGCTGGGAGAGAGAAGCCAAGGCATTTGCAGAGAATTTTCAGTGTGCTATAGTAAGTGGTTTACTGAAAAAAGTGAGGCATGATTGAAAGGCAGACATAAAATATGTCTAGAAATGCATTTATGCAATCACAAGAGAAAACAGTTGCTAGAGCCTCATGAAAGACAAAGTTAAAACCATCAGGATAAAAAATAAATACACAATTGAAAAAGGAAGAAAAGATGAAAGCATGGTTATCAACCTCACTCAGGGATTCTTCTTTCAAAACCCAATCTTAACATCAATCTTTAAAACTTGTAATGCATTGAAAATGTAAAATTCATGAAAATATGTTTTGAGGATGCCGGGTTCCCTGAAAGAGATCATTCAAGTTTCCATAACTCCTGGCCCTCAGAATTGTCTGTTGTACAAATATGCCTGGAACCTGGGGTCTCCTGGGATCCAAGAGAGATTTGAATTGTGCTGAAGATTTGACTTTCAAATGCGCTCTGCTTGGGACCAGCTACTCTTGTGAAGGAGTCGTGATTCTCCAATATGTCACTTACTATTTTGTTTTTAGGTAAGTCTTCCTGAAGAAAAGAAATGCCCTTAAGTACAGTAAGAATTCCAAATAGAAAGAATTCTTTAAAAATAAATATTACGGTGTATATGTAAAGTATACGTGATGTGACGGGATGTTTCACATAATAAAAAAGCCTATAGTAAAACAAATGAACATATTCATCGTCTCACATTGTTATCCATTTTTCTTGTTTTTGTGGCACGAACAGCCAAAACTGACTCAGTTGGCACACATCTCATGTACAATACAATTTTATTACCCACAGTCCTCGTGTTCTGTAGTAAGTCTCTAGACTTCTTTCTTCATCCTTCATCTCTGCTATTTAGTATCCTCTGAACTCTAATCCTCCCATCCCTCCATTCCTGCCCTGGGAACAACTGTTTTTGTCTCTACCTTTATAAATTTGAATTTGTTTTTATAGATTTCAATATAAATGAGAAAGAATTTTATACAACTGTTACCAGCTGTTTCTATAATGAGGCAAATCAGGTTACTGCTCAGGGACTTGCAAAGGAGAGATGATGCCTCAAGAGGCCAAAATGGTCATCGAGAGAACTAGACCTCATCAGTGTCTGTGTAGAGGGTCTACCTCAAGAGCACAGGAAATGTAACTTCATTTTTAAACAACAGTTCATTTCTATTTACAGCCTCATTTCTGAAGGTTGGAGAGTACTGAAACTTTGCTTCCATCAGTTTGAAGCACATCTTTTCTTAGGGTTGCATCTAAGTTCCTGAGAACATTCTTGGTAGGGTAAGAAGCATCTCCAACCTACCCAGAAAGTTCTATAGTCTCTACCTCCCATGAGTACAGACTTAGGACATGGCTCAGGGTACAGGGTCCTCCTCAGTAGCCCACCAGTGTCTGGTTCTTGGTTTCTTCCCTCTTCCCCTCATCTCTAATCTTCCCATCTCACTGACAAATTATTTTAATATAGGGTTTGGTGAGGAGAGAAGCAGGGTGGTGACTGGGAAATTTAGCTGTGACTAATCACATGTTCTTCCAGATCTTCTATTTATACTAGCAAAATCTTTTTCCCCCATGTATTTTTAAAAATATGTTTTAATTAATTATACATGACAGTAGAATGCATTTTGATATATCATACATAAATGCAGCATAACGTCATGTAGTCATATGTATATAGGGTAATAATGTCTGATTCATTCTACTATCCCTCCTGCCCACATACCCCTCCCCTTCCTTCACTCTCTTCTATGTAATCTAAAGTACCTTTATTCTTCCCTTGCTCCTTCCCCCTTATTGTGAATTAGCATCCACATATCAGAGAAAACATCTGGCCTTTGGTTTTTTGGTATTGGCTTATTTCACTTAGCATGATATTCTCCAGTTCTATTCATTTACCAGCAAATGCTATAATTTCATTTTTCTTTGAGGCTGAGTAATATAGCAAAAGCATTTTGAAAAGCAAAAGTCAAGGGTTTGATCCTTTGCAATCTGTATACAGTTCTATCAACCCTTCCAGGAAAAGAATCAATACTTGATTTTGTGCAGCCTATGCTAAGAATGGTTTTTACATTTTTAAATGGTTGAAAAAAAATGAAAAGAATATTTTCCATGATACATAGAAATTATATAAAATTCAGATTGTAGTTTCTGAAAATAAAATCATATTGGAATACAGTTATGTTCAATCATTTATATATTATCTGAGAGTGCTTTCAGGCTATACAAACAGAGATGACGAGTTAGGACAGAAACCTTATGTCCTGTGAAAACTAAAATTTTACTGTTTGGCCCTTGAATAAAAAGTTTATCAATAGCCTGGTCTATCTTAATTAGATAATAATAATCCAGTCATCACTAATCCATTTACTTAAATTTATAATCTAGACCCCCTGCCTTACTATTACCAAGGTTAGGCACATTAAAGGCAAATAACAGTAATAGCTAATATGTAGAATACTATCCATATGGACTTAACATTATAAAAATAAACAGCAATACAAAAATGGTTAGGATAAAGCCACCCCCATARGAGCTCACAGATTAAGCACAAGGATATAAATATATAAACAGTATATAAAAGTATATACCATATGGCAAATGTTCCTGAAATAGGGACAGGGAAGTGAGCATGGATTACTGCTTATGAGCTCATCTTGACAGGAGCTTAGGTGCAGCGAGACAGACCATGAAAATAACCGACAGGTTACAAGTGTAGGTTTGATGTTCTGAGAGCTGGTTGGGCTCCAAGTTCCAGCATATAGGTGTGGCAGAGGCCCGGGGATGGGGTGAAAAGAGCTACAAAGTGAGGAGAGAGAGGGAGACTGTAGGCATAGAAGTGTCATGGAAGAGTTCTTGGAGAGCAGGACTCGACTTAGGATAAGTGGCATCCTTGGTGTACATGGTGGAAGAGAATTTCAGTGAATGCCAGTCAGAAGCAGACAAATCTATTTAGGAAAACAGATACACATTCAAGGGAGAATTCGGACTATCTGAAGAGTGAGACATCTTTTGGGACAAAGCAAGTAATACACGTTCAAGGGAAAATGCAAGCCAGCTCCAAGGAGACAGGTAGCAATGCCCTGGTCTGGGGTGTTACTATTTATAAAGGAACATAGCTAGGGATTGAACTAGAGGTAGAATCAGGGTAGTCACACAATATCACCAGTCTTCCCTGTACTTCCTTGCATATTGTCCTCCAGATGAGGTCCAAGGACATAAGCCAAGGATGTGAGCTAGGTTTCTCATGAGTGGCCTCCTTTGAGTTTCAAAGATTCATGGGCATTTCCTGCATTCCAAAGGTTCATAGGTGCTTCTCTTTGGGGATTCAGCATACCTTTCTTTTTCTGTATCCCCAAGTTCCTATCTCAAAGGGAGTGTTCATGCTTAGGGAGTTGGCAGAGAAGAGGGTTTACAAAGGAAAGGGCAGCTAGAGATATGGTTAGGGAACAAAGACCTTCCTGATAACCAAGTGGCATGACATGCTCAAGGAGCAGGTAGTCAATAGAGTCAAGAGCTAGTGCAGGGTGAGCACTGCCAAGATTCTCAGTCGTTTAAAGATAGTGGTGTCCTCACAGCAGCTGTTTCCAGCAGGGTAGAGAGAATGTGGACAACATTCTCCAGAGGGAGATTTCTGTGATGGCCCAGGCCTTTTCCCTGCGGGTTACCTCTGTCTTTGTCACATGGCCTCATGGCTTTGAGTGTGCTCTTACACTGAACCCGGGCTTAAATATAGGACTGAAAGGCAAAGCAGTGATGGGGCTCAGGTGCTCTTGTCCTCTGCCATCACCATGAGAAGAGCATGCCCAGGCTAGCCCACTGGTCCCAGGAGGAGGACTTGGAGAAAACCCATGTTGAGACATGTGAGCAAGCCAGCTGACCTGCAAACACATGTCCCATATCAGTGAAGCTCAACCTCGCCGGGCTGGACCCCATGACAGAGAGGAACAAATGCTTACTGTTGTGTGTCTCTTCAGTTTTTGTGGCAGTTTGCTATCCATTATTGTAGCAGTAGATGACTGATATGCAATTTAAGAAATAATGAAAACCCGGGAGAAAATTTCAAGTACTAAAACTTAGGTATTTAATTGGTGGAAAGCAGATCTCCTAAAATTTTGTAGCTTGTACTGGGGTCCAGTATTGATTGTCAGCTGATTAACAAATGTGGAGACGGCTTTGTTTAGCTGTGCAATTTATAGGATACCTTTAGGTGACGCAAGATRACTTCACTGCTACTGTGCATGCATTTCTTTTAGGAGAGGCTGACTGTGTTGTTTTCTTCAAGACCCAAAGGTAAGGATCACATATACATGTATAACTTCCTTTTGAAGAGGATAATCAGTCCTGGTATAAAACACCTATGTAGGACAATTATTCTTACACGTAATCAGAACCCAGAAGACAGGATTTAAATAAAACAGAAGCCTCTATTTACGGAAACTGCTCTCCCTATCCTACAGACTGGGAGGGTAGATATGTAGGAGGGAGCTCCTTGCTGTGATGGCCAAGGTGAGATCTACTGCACACAAAAAAAGCTTGAGTTAGACTGAATAGAGCCTCCTAATTTTAGGAGCTGGTCTTATTTTGTAATCTAGATTGCACAGTAGCTAGTTTTTCTCAGAGATGCTTATTTTCCTTTTGCTATTTCTGAAACTTTACTTGAATCTTCATTACATACTCCAGCTTAGTCTCAGCTATACTACTTGAGATGTCAAGAAAGGGCCAAGACTCTGGGTTGGGGTTGTGGCTTAAGAGGTAGAGCACTCACCTAGCATGTGTGAGGCATTGGGTTAGATCCTCAGCACCATATAAATATAAAATATTAAAAAAAAAAAGAAAGAAAGGGCCAAGACTAATAAGGTAGGGCAAGATGTTTGTAAAGGTTTCCCTCAAATGCAGTTCAATCTGCAAGGATGAAATCTGAGGCTTTGACTTGGATTGGAACCAAGTCATCAAACCAGTAGATCAAACTTCTGCCTGGCAGCCTGAGCCTTGCAGGATTACAGGAAGGACTGGCAGGTTCCTTTTGAGACCTCAGGGTAAGCAGCTTAACTTTAAAGAGGTGGAAAACACCTTCAGTACCCTGCTTTTTCAGACAGATTGCTTGGCACTAGCACCTCTGTAGCAAGGCTAACCTCTGCAGGTTAAGATAAAGAGTAAAAATAASAGCTAGCAGGCACTGAATATTGACCCTATTCCATTCTGAACTAGTTCCCTACACCATTTGATCCCCCACCCCCACCCCACCCCACCTCACCACACCACACACATCCATACCAGGTAGGGGCTTTTCTTATCCCCATTTCACACATGGGAATAATGAGGCACAGGGTGGATAAGGAGCTTCTCAAGGTTGCACAACTACAAAGCAGCAGAGCCAGGCTTTGAACTGCAGAGCTTGTGATCTCAGCCACAAGGCTTTCCAGAGACGGCCGCCTGTCACTGGAAGGTAAAGAACAGCCCTCCAGCAATATCTGACAGGAAGCAATGTCACCGCAGAACTGAGGTAGAAGAGGGACCTGCAGTCTTTTGAGTCCTCTCACTTCTTTTGGCTCTGGCTTTTCTATCCCTTCATCAAGGAGTCAAAGACAACACTTCATGCAAAACCCAGAAGTATTAATGCTATTAAGTGCAGAACAAAGCTTCCTCCTGGCTATTGCTGAAATGATTTGGGGAATCTACTAAGAAATGGTAAATCCTCTTTTTCTGTGGCAGTCGTATTTAGAAGAAGCATGGTAGGAGGGATGAAATATGGATTGAAACCCGTCCTTTCATTTTCCAGATATTCCTTGGGTGCCTAAAGGGATGTAGGGTCTGTGAGAAACACTTAGCTACTGACTCTGTCAGTTTGGAAAAACTTAGCTTGACTTTGAACAGCCTGATAGTCTGTTACCTCCTCTTATTTATAGAAAAAAATGAGATTAAGATACTCAGAAGCGTCTTCTGACCATGATTTCTAAAGTCCTAAATGAGTAACATCTTATTAACTCAAAATCTAAGACTCAAGAATTTGGTGCAGGTAGTTTTGAGATTTACCTAAATTCCACAGATGTAATTGGAATCCAGTAGGATCTTCACTTCTTCATTGATCAAACGATGCAGAACATAAACTCAGCAGTCATAATGCCAAAAACTAAAAAGTTCACTTGGAGGATTTAAGCAAGCGTGGACATCAGGAGTTTATTTCTAAACAGGTGTCTTTGGGATATGTCATGAAATTATATAGTTTTACCCCTATCTTCTTGACACTTAAAAAATATATCACACTACAGCAAAAATAATGTTCAAAATGATGAAGCTAAAGATGGTAGAAGGCTTGAGGTCATGCTAATGACCAAATTAAAACTGAATTGTGTTTTATGAATGTTTTGGTGTTAACTACACATCATTTTATTTCACTGCCTGAAAACTGGTTACCCAAAGCTGATACAGAACTCTTTCAAAGCCATAACTCCATCCCTTTTTTTTTTTGGACTGAATGGCAATTTATTATATTTGAAAATAATGAAATGTCATTCTTTTTGAATACACCAAAATTGGAACTTTCCTCTAAGTCATACAAGTTCAAATTAGTGAGTTTTAATTATATTGGTGCTGTCACATATGATTTTATTAAGGAAGCTTATATCTGTGCTTCTCCCCACTTGATAAATTTGCACTTGGTACTTAAGAATAGTTTGTTTTCTAGATATTCAGTTTTTGTTTTAAGTTAATCCAAGGCTGAGGCCTGTATTAGTAATGAGTTTTACACTATGAATTGTACATTTTTTATTTAAAAAGAGACATTCTTGGGGCTGGAGTTGTGGCTCAGTGATAAAGCACTTTCCTGGCATGTGTGAGGCCCTGGGTTCGATACTCAGCACTGCATATTAATTAATTAATTAATTAAAAGATCCATTTACAACTAAAAAATATTGAGAGAGAGAGAGAGAGAGAGAGAGAGAGAGAGAGAGATATCCTTAAGTCTAAGTTCTCCATTCTGAACAATTTTTAATTTCCCTGGATGCCTGTCAGATTTTAGCATAGAATATTTAAATTTTATATCCAGGATCATTGATGTAAATTTCACCCTAAGAGACAGTGAATTAATTACAAGGAGCTAAAATTAGATCTCTCTTTGGTTGGATATTTGGTTTGTTTAGCAATTTACAAAAGGGATGAGGATCTTTTTCAGGAAATAGCTCTCTGGAAGCATATGGCAATCATTATTAAAGCTAGAGTGGCCTGAGCCCAGTAAGATAGCACTATAATCCCAGTGACTCCAGCGGCTGAGGCAGGAGGATGACAAACTTGAGGCCAGCCTCAGCAACTTATTGAGAACCTGTCTCAAAATAAAATTTAAAAAGGCTGGGGATATAGCTCAGTAGGAAAGCACCTCTGGGTTCAATCCCCAGTACCAAAAAAAATCCAAACCAAACCACACAAAAACAAAAACTAGAGTAGTTTGAAAACCACACAAATAATCAGAAAATGTAAAATAAATCACTCATAAGTCCACTGTGAATACTGGGAGGTGGCTTTTCTTTTAAACCATTCACTCACATGCTAAAGAATAATGAAAATTTAGCTTACATTCCAAGTTTGGTTTGTTGTAGCCTTATGTCTCATTTCACAGGAAACCTTTTCGATTRTTGTTTCACTATTCCAGTGAATTATGGTCTTGGCTACTGTAGCATTTATAGTTTCAGCTCTTGAGATGATGGATGCAGAAGGAATCACTAGAAGAGGAAACAAAATCTTAGGAATTTAGAAATTGGCCTAGGGAGAAATTTTTATCACTTTTCCTCATCTATAAAATGGGACARTACTATCATATATGCTTGTTTCCAAAATTAAATATGATACTTATGTTAAGTGTGTGAAACACAATAGGTGTTCAATAAACAGGTGAGATGATATTAAGATCAAAATGATAACAACAACAGTAATACTACTCCTGGTCATAATTTAGAATTATCATTTACTGGCTATAATTATTCCTAAAAAGGGCACCAGACATAACAGCCTTTCTMCTTCATTAATCCATCAAGAGGAATCTGCTTTCGAAAAAAAGGATATATTATTGCATTCTACCTCAAAATGCAAACTTGGAAAAACATGTAGATCATGGTCAAGAGAACTACAACTCCAAGAATATACAAAGAAATGKCTCTGTTGTTCATCCCCATAGTCAAATCCAGTATTCAGCGCATGGGACAGATTCTTAGACAATCTAGTTATCTGAGCTTGCTGTGGTTAGTTGAGAAGTTGAGATATTACTTGCTATAGAAGACTGCAGTCATGCCCAAAGAGAATCTACCTGTGTGGTACCCTAAGAGAAGGCTTCCCATCCCATAGGCCATTCAGCAGGAAAGTTTTARGACACATTATGATTTTTTTAAAAAAATTATCATAAAGTCTAAGGACAGGATTCAAGAAGATTGGAATTAAGCATTCCCTAGCTCTGTAGTCTAAAAATTTTTAATGCCACCAAGCCTTGCTTTCCTTATGTATGAATTATAATATCTTCTACAAAATAGGATGTAAAAGCAATTAGCACATGAGGAGATGCTCAGTAAGTGTTAGCTTATTGAAGTTATCCTTAATAACCACAGGAATCATTAGTGCTAGGACCTTTAAAGGCAGAGCAATTCATACTTGATGCTCTGCGTTCTGATTTTAGGGCTTGGGTATAATTGTAAGAAGCTTAAGGATGATTACTTTTTGAATTTTTTTTAATGTATAAGCACTATATGCTTTTCCATACTTTTATTTATTTAGTTAGTTATTTTTATGTGGTGCTGAGGATTGAACCCAGTGTCTCACATATGCTAGGCAAGCACTTTATCACTGAGACATAACCCCAGCCCCACTTTTTGGAATTTATCTTTAGAAAATAATAAAGAATCATGTAAAAATTTAGCAACAAGGTATTCATGGTAATATAGTTTATAATGGTAAAAAATTGAAAACACCATAAGCCTCCACAAGAAAGGATTAAACTATGCTACACTCAGACAACACTAAAAATAATATTGTAGATTAAGTTGATAGAAATGTTTATTATATATTTTATGTAAAAGAAGTAGGATCTAAAATTATCTGAAGCAAAACATTCTAACATTTGTTATATCTGACTGTCAGCTTATGGATGTCTATAAAATTTGCTGTAATTGTCATTGTATTTTATAATACGTAAAGATGAAAACAAAATCCCCCACGTAAGCCCCAGATAGGGTGTAGAGTATAACTTCCTAGTATGCTGTACTTCTCACAATATAAGACACATCATAATTTATTGTAATCCTTGTTTCTCCTCCTTGGTAGATTGCAAATTATTACAGAGCACATTCCTTGTCTATCTTACTGTCCCTGGCCCTTAGAAGAACACTTGGAAAAAGGAAGTTCCCAATAGAACTGTAAGCACAATTCACATACATGTATGTGAACTGTAAGCACATACACCTAAGCAGAAATCAGACAGGAAGGGTGTACAACAGCATGGTTGGCTTGCTGTTGGCAACTTTCATCTCCAAGTTGCTTTGGGGAGGAATTACGTATGATTTCTATTTTATCCATCACGATATGCAGAATCTTCTTTCAGATCTAGACTTCATTGACTAGGTCAGCACAGGTAGTTGTCTGTTATTAAAGACACTATRGATTGCTTATTCTTTACCTATATCATCCAGATGGATCTGGAGTGGTTCTGACTCCTCCACGCCTAATGCATTTGCAGCTTGAACCCAAACCAAATACTGCCTGCCTGCTTGCAGTGAGTCCATGGAGATGTTAATACAGTTTGTGGCAAGATACTGTTGCTCTTCTTCTGTCTCTAAACTTAAAAAAAAGAAGGAAAAAAAAAATCACCAACTTCTATTCAGTTTGAACTCATTTTTTCAGATTTTTTTTTTTTTTTTTGGTAGTCCTGGGGCTCCATCCCACATCCCAAAGTTTTTGATGCCACCATTTAAAATCTGCTTTCAGATATATAATCTTTTACTGATATTAAGCAAATTTGATTTCATTTTCTGAATTTTTAAAAACAAATTCAAATCTGGCAAGGGCCACGTTATGACTTCATTTGGATCTAAACACTTTGGCCTTCATAAGAGCTTTTTTTCTCCATTAAAAAAAAGTCTGTGTAAATAGAAATATATAAAATACATATAAATACACATATATACATGTATACATGCATACATACACATGCTTATATTCACAGATTATTATTTTAAAACTGTTGATATAGACAAATATATTATTATTATATATTAAAACATTTAACCTAAGAGTTCATTTTTCTCTTCCAATTTTAAAGGAAATTAAATATTTTCATGGACTCCCAAAGAGCATGTGAGGCACAGGTAGTGTGCCTACTGTGCCCATTGATCAAGTCAGTCCTGACATGGCTTGGAATAGAAGAGCTGCCCCTTGGAGCAAGGGCTGCACGGGTTCAGTACAGGGATTCTGAAGTCAGACATTTCTGCCAGGAGTAGGGTGAAGGGTGAGGATGACTTTCCTATGTTCAAAAATGGTGTAACTCTACATCACTGGAAGAATGGGATTGAGAACTACAAGGATAGGAAGTTACTCTCCATGTATGTATTCTATATCAAAATACATTCTATTTTCATGTACAACTAAAAAGAATAAATAAAATAAAAAGAATAGGGGGTAGAGATAAATATTAAATGTCGTTTCAAATTATATCTTAAGTATATAATTGAATGACTGAAGATCTCTAACGGGCCATTTCAACTTGGAAATTCCACATGTTATACATTCAGGCTAAAATTTAAAATTAGATTAACTGACACTGTCTTTGGACAGAAAGTTTGAACCTGTTTTAAAATCTCTACTCCCAAACAATCACATGATATTTTTTAGGGGATAAGAGGTCAAGTAGTGGAAAAGAGAGTGCTGGAAAATTGTTTCTTCTCTCCTTCTGTGTTTTCTGTGATGATCAATTGTCCTTAAACCCCGGCCCCACCTTGTCTCCTCCCTGCCTCTGGAAGGTGGGAGTAACTCTACTCAGCCACGTCAGGGATGGAGACCCACCAGGCATGTGCCGCTCAGTCCCTTCCTCTCTCCTTCTCTTGGGAGCCAGAGACCCTGGGGATGGGCTGCTCTGGTCTGCTTCTCCCATCTCTGGAAGAATAGAGGAGCAAGCCTGTGATGGGGACAAGGTAAACCTGTCTATTTTAGGAGGATCAGTATTAGAAAGCTCACTGTGGCCACATACCCAAGCTGAACCAGGGAGAGAAGACTTCACAGTTCTTGGCAATATATATCATTCAATATTTAAGTATTCCAAATTATTTGGATATTTGAAATAAATTATTTAATTATTAAATCCAATATTTTAAGTGAAATGTTTTAATATGTTGAGTTTCATCTGCTTATTCCTTGTTTTTTTTTTCTCAGTTGATTTAGAACTCATAAGGGATGTCTGCAGAGATTAAATGTTGGGCCCCCTCAGACTCAAAAAAAAAACCAACAACTATTGTCTATAATCAGATCCATTTGTAGCATGAAAATGTTTTCAGTGAACTTCCTTTATTTACATTTCTTGAACCTTTTCAACTACCAACTCTTTAGATTTCCTCTTCTTAAACTTCTTATTCAGTTTTTATATCTTAGGTAACTACATCCAAGTTATCACTTCTACTTGGTCTTTAATCCTTTTGCTGTGAATTTTGCTTTTCCCAAGAGATCACTCTTAAAATGGCATCCTTTCCAACACTGAAATTCTCTGAGTCATCATTTTAGTATTTGTCCCTCCTGATTACTTCACATTCATACTGCCCCCAGCTGTCTGAACTCTGTCTTCCGGGTTTAAGCTCCTCCATCTTTTTCTCACTTAGTGACTTCTTGTCCCTGCAACCCTTCATCTGGGTTCCCCTCTCTTCTGATCCTCCCCCCACCAACATTCAGAGTCAACTCTGGCACTTGCTTTTCCCCTAAGCCCTTTTCTCAGCTCACTCACCTTCCTGGCTTCAAGTCTATTCCACATACATGGCTCCCACATATCTGTATTCTGACTAGGAGGACTGGGACCAGAACTAGAGTATATTAACCAACTCTGTTATTTTTTTCTTGCAAATCAATACTTGTTGCCAGTTTCTTCATCCGTGGAAAATTCATGCTGTCCTTATTTCTTACCTCACCATTCTTAATAACTTTCTGTTACTTGTAAGAGCCAACCAGTTACCAAGAAGGGTAAGCAAGCTTTAAAATATTCTTATTTTATCTTTCCTGCCTGTTTGGGGAGCTATGGTGATAGTTTAGGCTTTATATTATCCATTTGACACATTATTTATAGACTTCTAATTGTGAAATCTAATAATACATATATACTAATTTAGAAGGAAAATGGCCTTGGAATTTGAAAAACAGTGAAAACTGAGTATCCTAAATTCTTACTTTTAATGAGTGGAAATATTTCACAAATTTGCATATCATCTTTGATCCCAGGTCCCGTGCATGGTCTTTGTATTGTTCTAATTATGGTGTTTGTGCGACTGAAGCAGCTCCAACCCTATTTCTTTACCTAACACTGTCAATTGTTCTCTGTCCCAGGAGACTGGCTTGATAAGATCTGTGGGGAAGATAAACTTGAAAATCACTATCATCTCATCCCTCGGGTTCCTTCCACTCTGGGTCCTGTTACTACTGTGTTCTTTTCAGTAATCCCAAATTTCTTCAGCCCCACAGTCTCCCAGCCACTTACATCTTTCAGAATTCAAATGACATTTTTGCCTGAGGCTACCACCAACAAAGTCATCTATGAATTAAAATGCTTCAGAAATTAAATCAATCTTTATCTATAGAAGAGCAAGACAACCTCTCAGGTTGATAGTCCTTGGGGTGTGGGAAGGGGCTACATAATTGCAGGTACAACAACTATTCTTGTGCCCTTAGGTCAAGTTCAAGTGCATTTTCCAGTACTGCCTCTTTCCTCACACCAGCAGTGAGGTGACTACCAATGCCATGGGGTAATAAGAAAGACATATCATGGTAATTAAAAACATAGGGCTTGGGTTTTAGAGATAGCCCTAATTTCAAATGCCTGCTAGGCCCTTTGATAAGTTGTAGGACTTGGGGCAAGTTACTTAACCACTATATACTTCAGTTTAATCATCTGTAAAATAAGGATGATAGAGTAGCGTTGTTGTTATCCTGAATAAATGAGTAAATGAGAAAAAAAAGCAAGGAGCAGAAGGCTATTGCTTGTATCTAAAGTTAAACTATGGCTGGGTATAATGGTGCACACCTGTAATCCCAGCCAGGAGGCTGAGGCAGGAGGGTCACAAATTGAAGGCCAGCCTTAGTGAAACCCTATCTCAAAATAAAAAAATAAAAAGGAGGGGATATAGCTCAGTGATAGAGAACCCTGAGCTCAGTACCCATACCACAAAATAAAATTAAATTATGCCTTGTTTATATAACTGCCTTGTATTCTTTATGAAATAAAAGGGAGCATAAATACACTAACAGGGCTTCGGTTTTAAAGACAGACTTAGGTTCAAATGCCTGCTAGGCCCTACTAACAGAGAACTTATTAGAAGATACGCTAACCTTATATTAAACAAGAATTCAAATGTGAAAATAAGGAAATGACAACTATGGGTAATAGGTAAGTGGGGCACCTTTGAATATTTTCCAGTTAGAGAAAACCACATCCATGTTCTTAATTGGTTTGTGGCTAATTCTTTTATCACACATATTAAGACTTCAAGTCAAAATGGAAATGTATTCTCAAAYTGACATTAACTTCGGTTACTAGGTGATTTAATTCTGCTTTTAAATTCTTCCCCATGTTAGCACCTAGACCACAAAGCAGTGTTTTAATTGAAGACTCCACTAATAATGACGGATTATACCTTAGGACTATCATGATATTGTGATGTGGTAAATACTGTGCATATTTGATCTCGGCTTGGTTTCTGGAACATGGCTCCTGAAACCCTTGAGATTTCTAAAGTAATAAGTGTCTTCCTGTGTGCTAATGAGATGACTGAAGAGGGTGCTCCTGGGCAGCTTCAGGAGGGAGGCTGGTTATGGGGGCAGGGATAGGGGACCCACCAAGGGACATCAAAGATGAGAGGCTGGAGCTTTCAGCAACCCCTCCATACCTCCCACCTCTGGGGAAGGGAGCAGGGCTGAAGGCTCCGTAGATAACCAATGGCCGAGTAGATAACCAATGGCCAACGGTGGAGCTTCCATATACCTTCTCAGATGTCTTTATGGCATCTTTTCCATGTGGCTATTCATCCATATCCTTTGTAATATCCTTTATAATAGTAAAGGATATTAAGTAAAGCATGACTCTGAGTTCTGTAAGTCACAATAAAAAATTAAAGCTGAGGAGGGTATCCTGGAAACCCTGATTTTTAGCCAGTCAAAAGCATAGGTCAAAGCCAGGTGCAGTGGTAGCACACCTGTAATCCCAGTGACTTGGGAGGCAAGAGGATCATGAGTTCAAAGCCAGCCTCAGCAAGAGAGAGGTCCTAAGCAACTCAGTGAGACCACTGCTATAGGCCATATAGCAGAGCTGCTCACCTCATGGCATGGGGAGGAGTGGGGGTGATGCCATGAGGTGAGCAGCTCTGCTATATGGCCTATAGGGCTGGGGATGTGACTCAGTGGTTAAGTGCCCCTGAGTTTAATCCCTGGTACCAAAAAAAAAAAAAAAAAAAAGCACAGGTCAGGATCCGGGGCTTTTGACTGGCATCTGAAGTGGGGGCATCAGCCTGCTGGGAATGATCTGGTGTTATCTCCAACATAGGTGGTGTCAAAATGGAATTGGAGAACACCCACCTGGCTCTGCTAGGGAG